CTACAGGACAGAAACAATTTAAATCCCATCGACGTGGGTCTTCAATCTGTACAATTTAAAATACTTCAACACACATCCTCGGATTTAATTCTAACACACAGAAAATCATATCATGTCCATCGATTCAAATTGTCTAATTAAAATTCAGAGCATTTATTAGAGTTCCTAGTTAGCCATGCTTCTAAATTTTAAAAAATTTGGAATAAAATATTTATTTCGAAGCTATCAAAAGTTACTTTGTTAAACAAACACATACAGCAAATTAAATAAGAAATAAAATATAAGAAATAAAAATAACTCGCTGAAAAAAAGTATATATATAAACAAAACAATAAATATTTAAACAAAAAATATTTCAAGCCATAAAAAGAATCGTAATGGCCACGAATATCGATGAAAACACTATTTGTACATGTGTACATAGAAAGAGAAAATATTTCTATGAACTCCGCTGTTTATCGACCGCTTTTAGAGCTGCGCATCGATTTTATATCGAATGACATAAGACAATGGCGGATCGGTGGCGACACGATCGACCATCCCGTGACATCGATCGATCTCGATGTTTGGCAATTTCGAAAATTGCCGCACGATTGGCACTCGTAAAAGAATCGCGAGACGATCGTGTTACACGCGACCAGCGCTGACTTGTCACGCGATAAAGGGCGGCGAGGAATCGCGTGACGTAATAGGCCCACATAAAGGCAATAGAAATAAATGACGTTAAATTGTTGGGTGGTTGGTTTTTAGCAGCTCATGCTCGTGGAACGGTCGAACGAAATGCCTCGCGACGAATTAAATCTGCGAACATCGACTACGCCCTGACGTTGGCGCGGAATGAAAATGGCCGCTCGGCCGATCGCACGTTATCGATCGTGGAACCAAGATCGCCACGGCGCATTGTCCTTGCGAAGATTAGTCGTCGATTAGATATACTACCGCGTGTCGAAGGGGAATTAGTTCTACCGCAGACGTCATGCAAGAAATTAGCTTTGATTTAGCATCTCTTTCCAGGCCGATTTTTAGTCCACTAGATAGAATTAGCGTTGTTTGGTTTGGCTTTTCTTGATGAGACTGTGGTTAGTGTATTGCGGAGTTCTTTGGGTGTTGATAATTTAAAAACGAGGAATTTTTTGGTAAGCAATATTATAAATAATCGTTGAAGATATTCACTTTAAAAAATTTTGTCTGGTATGAAAAACTGCAATTTTGCCCCTCCCCCCCCCCAATTATTGTTTATTTAATTGGCAGACAATTAGGGAAAATAAATGGTTGGATAAACTAATGGATTAATTTTTTGAAGGATTTTTTGCTATGAGATATTGTAAACTGTTTTAAGTTACTTATAATTGTTTATAATTACTTACACAATGTAGGAAATTAATGCAAAGTGGATGATTAAAGAAACTAAGATAACTTTTTGAAGGATTTTCTGGTACAAAGTATTTTACTAATTGCGTGAAAATTAGTGAAGAATAAAAGATTGTATAAACTAAGATATTAACATTTAATTGTTTACATAACTTAACAAATTAATGAGAATGAGTAGTTAACTATACCCAGGTATTAACTTTTATTTGGAATAGTGTTTGATATTTGATTTTTGAAATAATTAAAACCATTGATAGACATCCTCGAAATTTGGATTTTCTTAATTTAAAAATTTTATTTCATATGGTGTTAATTATTTAATTCATATTAATACGAATAATGCTTTAATATTTGATGTATATACATAACACGACAATGTAATAAGCATTTGAAACAAAATAACCCTACCATAACTTTCAATTAACATAACGTAATAAAATTTAATGACTCGAAACGTAATGCCTCGTTAATATTAAACATGCTTTTTTACAACCTGTAATTATTTCCTCGTATCTTTCTACTATTATACTCGAAAGATAAAATAAAACTACAACCTACCACAGCTTCGATAATTCGCGATAAAAATTAGAACAAAACTAGATCTTGAATTACATACCGAGATTATTCATTCTTTTTTACGATTCTTTAGAAAGTACCAGACAATAATGTAATATAATTAGAGAAATCATATTCACATTTTGCGTACACTTGGCAATTATTCACTTGAAAAGTTTCCAGAACGTTTATCTTATTCAAAATAAAAACAACAAAAATAAACATTCATACATATAACATTTAATATATTTAATATAACGAAAGAAAAAAAATTAATTAAATATATTAAAACTCTAATACAAAATTTAACATACTATACTTCAAAATTTCCACGAACTCTTTATAATATATAATTTCTATATTAAATCGTCAACCGACTGGCCTACCACGTAATATTTTATTAACGTTAAATATTCCTCAAAATAGTGCATGAAATCTACACTATCCTGAAAGTCCTTCTTAAACACGTAGATCCCCGATGAATATATTATATATAATCGATGCATTGATTTGAATATTCTATAAATCTTAGTACGTGCAACATAACCTCCAAACGCATTAACACGTACGCAACACAAAATCGAATTTCGCGAAATATACGTTTCGCCGAGTGTCCTATGACGCGAGAAATATCGATTGCAATGGCTGACTGGGATGTCCAGCGCTCGCCGTGATTCTACGAAAAGTAGGATCGAAAAGCGACCGGTTTCGCGCATGCACGCTGCGCTCTCTGGGCCGCATTGTTCGGAAGAGGGCAGCGCAGCTGCTCGAAAATAGACAAGTCCATTGTGCTGCGCGCGGAACGCGACAATGGCGGTGATCAGTGTACGTGTGTGCATGCGCGAAATCGATCGGAAAACTGACTCACGGGGACGATCCTGCTGCCCGGGTGCAGGCGAACGCGCATTATTCCCCATATCGACAAGGTCACGACCTCCGGCAAGAATCGTGACGCGACTACACGTAGCTCCACTCTCTCGTCTATGGCGGGCAGGTCGTTGCCATCCGGTCGTCACACTACATTTAACCTTTTTGCAACAACGAGATTCCGTAGACATTATGGCGGAAAAGATATCAGTGATGTAATATCTGCGAATTTGTATTCACTGCTCGAGTCACTTTCACGGTATCGTTCAAGTTCGTGCCTGGCTTTGTGTGCGTGCGTGTGTTAAACGTGAATGTATTTGTTTTTAAAATAAAAATTATTTATCTCGTATTTTTATTTTTGATAATAATGATTGTATATTTTGAGAATTTTTTCAGAATTTCGGTGGCCCGATAACTGTTTCAAAGATGTTTTTTAATATTTAAATTGGTAAGTACTGATAATCCGGTGTGTTTACAAAGAAGCGAAATTTGCATGTAATGCTCGAAAAGTGTGTAATAATAGGTTGTAGAAATTGTAGGTCATTTTATGGCTATATTAAAGGGAAGAATGTTTGGTTAAAATCAATGGGATACTCACAATCAGTATGTTATCGTATGGACGATAATGCATACATTATCAAAGGGTATCATCATACGTAAGTATGAACCGATTTCCCTTGCTATAACATAGCACGAGTATCGAGTCTCAAAGCGTTTAAAGGAGAAAATATGATACCATGATGATGGTGAAATATTGGTTTTACCGATTATTATAACGAGCACATTTAACTAATAATATTATAGCTTTAAATCGCGATGGAATTTGTTAAAATAATTCATAATTATATAACGGTTTGTAAATATAATTTAGCAATTAAATAACTTCCTTTGTTGATAAATAATAAAACGTAAATAACGCATGCAAAGATTCACACGATTCATGTCGGAGGATTAATTCAGAGCCCCCTTTTATACGAAGCGAAACGATTCCTTTATGCACACCGTTATACGATTTAAAGCTCAGACAGCCTTACAATATGAAAAAAGAACGAATAAAGACCTTACGATACAAAAGAAATTGAAAAAAAAAATCTTATCTCAACATGGTAATACTATAGCGCTAGTGACAATAATATTGATCTGGTTGCGCAAACAAATCGAACACAATCTATGTAAACAAGCGAAGATATATACGAAACAATGTTCACAGAATGATTTATACTCGAATGACACTTCGTTCTTGTCAAAGTAAAGTCACGCGTTTATGTTGAAAACCGTACGATCTGCCCTCTTTGTTTACGATTTTACGAGCACCTTTTCCTGGTTCAGCAAATGTGTTTGAGAATTCTCGCTGCGTAATATTTTCCGTACACCTGAACACTTTCCTCGTACTATCTCTATCTCTATTTATGGTCACAAGAAATCACGACCTCTTATAGCTATGTACGTTTTCCCTCTCAACCAAATCACGTGCCCAGTTTAAGCAGAACTATTTCGTATTATTTATGAAATAACAAGGTTATGATTCCGGTAACAATACGACATGCATGTTGAGAAAGAAATATATTCGTGAAGACTCACCGGTGCGATCGAGATGATCCGAAGCGGCAATCGAAAATCCAGTCGGCTGATCGAGGGCCGGCGTCCCGCCGTGCCAACGCACTGAGAAGTTTCAAACACTTTTTGATTGGCACACTAGCGTAAATTCACACGAGTCACGCGATTGAGTCAATTTCATAATCGCAACACGGACCTCGACTGCGAACGTACACTGAATTCGTTTTCAAATCAAAACGACACGGCGGCGCGCCGAACACGGCGCTCAAACGCCAAACTATCGTGGCAACGGGTGCTTCGCTACTGTGTGACGGTGTGCCGGGGTTCATTGTGTGCTCGCCTTTCTGGTTGGTGATTGGTGGAGGGGATGATGGAGGACAGATGGTAGTCACGAAGGTTACCGACAAGAACCGAGCGACACCGAGTCTGATTCATGCCTGCCTCGTCAGATGGTGTATCAGTTTATTCACAGATCTATTTATTGAACTTTTTAATTTTTATTTGAATTATTAAATACCTTAATGTATTTCATTGCTATTGTTTTAAGAAAATTGAACATTTCTTAATTTTAAGTGAAACTAATCTTTTTCTTGTATTTAGATTAATTTATTATATTTTTTGAATTATTTGTATGTATCGTGTACCTTTGCTTTGGATTATGATTAATTTTTGAATATGCATCTTAATGTCATTTATTAAGAAACTGTACATTGCTTATGTTTTTAACCCCACTCTTTAAAAGTTGTAGTATTTGCTAAGCTTTCTGGTGTAATAGGCCACAATGATGGTGGTAACATAGAATAATCGTGTAGTTCCAATGGTCTATTCCAAGTTGGATAAACAAAATCGTCTGTACTGCTTGTGCTTGTGTTATTCTCAAAATATTCTTTGATTATGTCGTCAGGATTTGGCCAACCATTTTCAGGCGTTACATTCAGCTTTGATTGATTTCTTATAGCAACTGCGAATAAAAATAATATAAATATACAATGTAATATTCTCTTTACATTTGTTTTGAATTATCACAATTATTACCAAGTCGTTGAAGTTCCCATATCATAGGAGGGGTATAATGAGAATATCTGCAACCAAGACCAAATGCACAATCACCGACACTTAAATACCATTTACATGGTATCTTTGTACTTTCTTCCTTCAATATAACTTCTGGATCTATAAAGCATAAAAAAGTAAAATCACATTTGTAGTACCAATATTATAACTAGTGTGTAATGATTTTGAGGTTATGTTTGACACATTTTGTATAATATTTTATAACTATATAAAATACATGTAAAAATCAATAAATAATCATTAAATAATCACCTTTATACATATTGTAATGATCCGCACGATTTTTCGTATGTTGCAAACTGGAAAGATGTTTTTTTCTGGCTTCTGGATCATCCTTAAAGGATCTGTCACAATAAGCACAATAATATCTTTTCCCCATGATTATTAAACTTTATGGATCTCAAATATAGAATATTTTACGCGGTATAATGTAAAACTTCAAATTCCAGCTATATAATATTGATAACGTAGAACACCTTGTCAAAACACGCGCATGAAGTAAACATCGATTTCATGGCGACTGGAGTGACATCTGTCATATACTATGGAAATAAACCAGAGAGAATTTTAAGCACGATAAGTAACTTTATTTCATTTTAATTCTTTTTATTAAAGAAAAAGTTTTATTCTATATTTAATCGTAAATATGTTGCATATATAAATTATTAGTATGAACAATTATCTGAGAACAGAGAAAGATTACTAGTCCAAAATTGTTAATTTAATTAGAGGTGTATTTCTATTAATTGTTCACAGTATAGGTCGGAATTGTTGTTTGTACACTTAATGGGTATTTATTTTAAACAAACAGATTACATATATGATACTGCTCGTTTAAACGTTACAATTGTTTGTTACATCCTTAGAATACAATTTACCGCAACATCTTGTGCGTTACTAATCTATATTTGTGTGGTAACGTCACATACCGAAGAAAATGCCTATAATTTATTACAACAACCTTCTCAGTTAATCTCGACCTCGTAATCGCTAACCATACGCAGCGTAGAGACACCATTGCAACTACAGAAGCTTCAAAATATTTAAATATTTTTAATCGTCCTTTGATAGTACGAATCCTCTTACACAACAATTTTGCTTAGAGCAAATAAAATTATCTGTCATTTGTCCATGTATTTACTTCCAAGAAATCATCTTGGAAATATATAATTTTTGTGTTCCAGTACACAACGTTGTAGAATGCCCGATTTCAATTTTGCACCATACATTCTCGATTTAAAAAAGTACCCGCGATATTTCTTTCCTTTTGTCGAAGTATCATTTGAGAAACAAATTTCTATGCAAACAAACAATAATTCCTTTGCGAAAATATAAAGCCGATCCCCACTAGGCGGCGATGGTAAAGTGCAGCTGTCGTATCGTGTCGTTGATGGACATCATAAATATTTATATATTTGACAATATTAATATTATTATACACATATAATATATAATATAAATACAATATATTAATAGTATTAATATATGTATATGTATAGAATGTCAATGTGGATTATAATAATATTCATACAGGAGCCTCTTAATTAGCATACAAATATTATTATAACAGGAATATAATATTATAAATAGAATCAATATATTAGATCTTTCTCTATATAGACTTTTAGCGTGTGTTGCCGAGATCGACGTGTCGCAGTGTGAATCGGCTTTCAGTATCGTCAAATGTTATTGGTTATTCGTGGTTAGGAATAGGTTCTAGCGTTCCCATTGGATGTTCGATTCGATTATAATCGACCATGCGTCGATTTTCATAGACATTTTCAACGATAGCAATATTTTCGTCAGCCTTCTACAAGCGATCAATGATAACCTATGAGGTAACGTGAAAATGCAAGAGAACCGGAATCGATAAAGCCACGAACGATACTTGGAAACGTTGAATTACATGCGAGAAAGTCGAAAAGCGTGATTCAAGCTTGCAATACTTTTCCGTCAATTATTAGATTAACGGACAAGCGAAAATAATACACATATACGAAGTGAAGGTTGCTAGAAGTTGAAAAATATTTTTCACGTGCACGGTGGTAAGTGCAGAGGTTCTTTATTATCTACCGTTAATAGAACGAGTGATTTAGTATCGATATCGTGATCGAAAATATAATAGGATGGAGTTGTAAAATGTCTATTAATATAATATAATAATGAGAGATTTTTAAAGATTCGTCCCTCCAACATAAAGTATTACTAATAATATAATAGCTGTATATATGTATACTATACTGCATAATATTCGAGTTTTCTTCACAATATGCTTTTTAGTACGAGAATACTGTACAGGGTCGAGGTCTTCGCGGACTTCCAATTTTTCTCAGCCGCGTTTTAATTTTATTTCGGCGTATTTTTTCAAGTTGGCTTACGATTATAACAATTTCCCGACAGATTTCCGCGCAAAAATATCTCTGTATCAAAGTCATTGGAACGAAATGTGCAAATTTATTTAACGTGTTTTCAAATGTGTCTTAATCATGCATGTACAAGTTGTTAGGTTAGGTTGTTTTTGGAAAATACAATCGTCGTTGGCGTAATGTTCGTTAGAGACACGGTGGTACGTGACAATGCATGACAGGAATCGGTGACGCATATCGAAAATATTTACAGGAGAAACAAATGACAACCAAAGTCAACAGTTAGGTCGTTAATGAGACTGATAAAACGATAACACCTCTAGCTGCACATTTAATGTTATCACGGTCGACTCAGCATGTCATAAATTATGCAATAATTCCAAGAACAGGAATACATGCATAATGAAACCGTTCGATAGTTCTACAAGAGATTATTTTTTATTTCACTCTTGGATAACCCCGTGAAACAAGAAACATAATTGGTTACGTGTTTACATACAGTAAAAATAAAATAAAATGTACAAATTGTCTTTGGATAAAAATATTCGAGAATTCCAATAGTCAAATTAATATTTCGAATAATTTTTTAAATTATTGTCGTGTCGTTGAGGACGAAAAAATATACGGTATATGACGAAAATATTACAATGCTTTGCAAACAAATTATAATTAGAAATAATAAGAAATTTCTAATTTAATTACTTAAGAAGAACAAATGAAAAATTAATATTATAAAAGAAAGAAAATTTTTCAAATATTCGATACTTTCTTAAATTACAACTAATTGAATACAAAATTTTAATTATCATAGACAATAACGTCAATTACAATGTATGCATAATTTTTGTTTTTCTCTTTTGGAAAGAAAATAACGATAATAAATATTTTGAATAACAGAAATTTTAACAATTTCGGCAATTTAAATAAATAATAATATATGACTTAATTTCTTTTACGTTTTCCCATAAGCTTCTAGACATTGATCATGCTGAATAGATCGAGGACCCAAAAACCAAAAAGTCCCGAAGAGCAAGACAAGAGGAGCGAAATAAGGCAGAAGAAAATTAACACGAGTGCTCGTGACGATCGTAAAAAGCGGCGTAACGTTTTTAGGCCTGCTAAAAACAACGTATACTCTCCGAAAGAAATCCGAAGGAAGGTAAAACAACGGACTAGATGAGAATAGAACGATACGTAACGTGCACCCGTTACATGGCAGTTCGACTGGGTCGTTGAGACCTCTTTGCTGTCGAATTATTGCGTCTACGGGGTCGTAAAACCATTCGTGTTCGCGTATTACGTGTTTACATGTATTCGTGTGTGTCTGTGTGTATCCGTAATCGTGTGTCATAACGTGCGATCTAACGCGTAAAAATATTTGTATCTGGTCTTTGAAAAATAATTCGCACCAACATGCCGGGATGGAGATTTTCAACGTTAGAACTATGTAAATTCAACGACACGTTTATCGATTAAACATGTCGGTTGCTCAGGCATGCGCCCTCCTAACGTGGGTAATTTGCTTTTCGACCAATGATCTATTCCTCTTTGCGATCGTAGTATCATACGCACATATACATATAATACCCCTTCATATCCGACTGCACTTACATTAAGTGTTACAATAATATCGACGAGTTCCAATCGACGTGTCATAGCACGCGGAAATAGGTTATGTTTATCGATGTGAACGATATTACAAGTATAATACGCTTGAAAAGGGGAGATAAAACGCTCGACTTTCGACTGATTATCAAACGTTGCAACTATTATATTCGTTCTAGGTCTTCTTCTCGGTTCGATTCGCACAAAATCTTGCAGACAACACGAATTTACCGATCCCGTGTGAAGAGTCGATTCGTGATTCCTCGTTTCTAGAATGCTCGTCTGATATCTCCATTATTCGTTATCGATATTTCAATTAATCTTCGTAATTTTTCACTGTTCCCGTTTCGCGAATATTCACGTACGAATGAGAGACGTTCGTTACAAGTAGCCGGATCATCGAGTCTGACGATCATTTCATACAATAAAATTATATGAGCAGTAGAGCGTAAGTGTAGCATGACACACCGCGCCCCCATGTAATCGGAATTTTTAATCAACCTTGATACATCGGTGATCTTGGTAATCCTTTCCGAGTGTTATCGACCGTCGATATAAATTTGGCATTAGCGACGGACACACGCGAATTTATCGGTCACTTGCCCACGTTCATCTTGCGATGCGCGTACCGGTTGATTAAACGAAAACTTTCGCACCAAATACGCGGTCAGACGATTAAATCGATCCACGTAATTGGATCTGCTCGAGGGAACGCACTTACCCGCCGCGCGCTTTCTTTGGAATTTATGTAAAGGCCGCACACTCCACCTATCCGGCCAATTAATTCCACCGCGTTTCTTTTACTTTCGTCTAGCTTCTTTTCGTTCCTTCCCTTTCTCAGCTATTGGCTGAAACTCAAACAGCCTTCTTCGAGCAGTCGCGTTTCTTTTTTCGTTCATGCTTCACCGCGGTTCTATTCGACGTGCTATTACGTGGTCTATCGAGTGCTGTAATAAGCATCGTGGCTTCTCATTTTACATTAGTTTTCGTATTTCTTTTTTTTTTAATCGCTTGTTCGATTTTCCAATTGGATGGCTCCGTATCAGGGTTCGTGTCCTATATCGACGAAATGCCAATTGACGTGTATATACCCAGGTTAGGTATCGGCGTTCAAATGACTCCAGATGGAGCTAGCGTACGCATACGTCTTAACACGAGAATCGAGGAGAAGCTGGATTTGACATGGCGCGTTCTCTGCGTGCGTACATATCGAAGTATAAATTTTACAAATTCGGGGTTGGACTTTTATATAACCAGAATAGATACTATCGATATTCTTTGTAATACTATATTCTCGAAAGGACGAAGAACACGTAAGTACGATTCGGATCAAAAATTATTCGATGAAGATTATCCTTGTTGTAGGTTATGCGAACTCCGAAGTTTTTAAACGAAGGTTTTCAAACAAATCTC